ATTATTTTTTAAATATACATATGTATTTTTTTTACTGTAAGAAATTATATACATATTCATTATATACAAAAAGAGAATACATATTTTAAAAATTTTTTAAATAAAATTATAATATTTATATTATTTTATGTATATGTATATTATATAGTAAATTGCAGAGTATTTCAAATAGTTTATATAGATTAATCTCAAACTGAAGGACTTGTAAACCAGATGTTAGTGTGATGGAATGCTCCTGCACTCTCGCTCTCTCGATTTCTTGTTTTGCCCAACAACTCTCTTTCTCTCTCTCTCTCTCTTTACTCCCATTAGTACACTCTCCGCTTCAACTTGATCTCGATAGAAATGTGAAGAGCAAATCATATTTAGTCCATAACTCGGAACTTTATGCATATTTAAAGATACCAAGAGAGTGCCAGATAAAAAGAGCGAGTGACTGAGAGAGAGAGCGAGAGGGAGAGCGATCGAGGCAATACACGCACACACACACACACACAACTAGACACAACAACTGACTGACTATATATCACTTTCAGATGCGGATTCAGTGCGCTGCCCGTTGTCGAACGGCGGACTTTTCGCTTCTTCATATATTTGTATATATACAAACATATATTACATATACAAATTTAATTTTTTTTTTTTTTTTGTTTCGTGTGCCGCGATCGAACGCAGAGCGTAAGATTTGCCTTTTCGCCTTGCATTTGCGGAACAGAACAAATATATGTATATACATATATGTAAATATATATTTTCCTACCATACATATACAAATATATATATTTCTGTTCTTCCAAAATATTGTATTCTTCAGTTGTCCGCACGTTCGTTTGTGCGCTCGTCTTCACGTTTGTTGTGTGGCCGAGCGAGCGCAGAGACTCGATAAATACAGAAAAAAAAGAGGCGGAATGGAAAATATATAAAATACAAAATAAAAAGAGGCTCAGCTGGCAATAAACAAAATAAGAATAATCAAACAAATTGCAAGTCTATCAAATCCGAGGCAAAGTGACAAATCTCGCGCGGTACAACGCGGCGTATACGTGTTGCAATTACCCAGTGCAAAGTGAAAAGTGAAAAAAAGTTCCGCTATTTTTTTTTTTCAATTTTTTTCCAACTGAAATCATTTGCGTGAAAGTAAGAAAATCAGAATTGTACTAAAGTGAAGCCGGACTACGTGGGAGGCTCTGATGACGTCACAAACACGCAGACACACACACACACACACACATACACCTCTCAATCTATACATGTACATATATAGCTATATAGCCATATAGATACATATTTAAAAGACTGCCAGAGCCGCCGCAACGGCCGCACAATCATCCAGTCAATTTGCGCTGTGTTTTGCGGGGCATTAAAACAAAAGCATTTCACTACGAAATATTTATTGTTGTGTCTACATACGCCTCTCTGCCTGTATCTGTGTGCGTGTGTGTGTGTGCGCGCTTTGTACCAATGCGGAATGTGTTTATAGTAGCCGACGCTGTTGCCATCGAAGTTGCCGCCAACCCAGCCCGATTGGGATTCCGATTCCGATTCCAATTCCAATTCCGATTCCGATTCAGTTTCAATCCCATCCCAGTCTCCACATCTCATCTGAGCATTGAATCGATTCATTGCTGAACTTGACACATGCTGCTCCATATCTACATGCATATACATATATGTATAAATATATGTCTCTGGTAAAGCTCATTTATTTATTTATTTTATTTTCTTGATTAGAAATTGTATTATTAATTATGCTTCTTCGATCCTTAGCAACTCTTTGGACAGAAGTAGTTTTTTGACGTATTTGACTTGGAGTTTTATTTTTATACTTGCAACCGATCTGTGTAGTCGAGTGATTCAGATTTTGTATCTTGGAGAATTTGTTGTAAAAATTTTTTTTTTTTTTTTATTTTTTTATTTGTTTTGCTTTAATCTCCCATCTCCTTCTTCATTAATAGCTAAAGTCAGGTCAGAAGTAGTTGTTAGGATAAAATCATTGTATGATATAGAAACTTGTATTATTATTTATAGCCGATTTATATAATGGATCCATTCGAAAATTTTCTTGTTGACTTTTTAAAGATGTTGAATATATTTATTAAAATGATATATTTTAATTATATATAGTTATACATACTGAAAAATATTCCAGTTGATTGCCTACCCACCTACCTTTAACTGATGCAGAAGAAACTATTATTATATTGATATAATCCAAGTAATAGATTATAAATAAATATACAGTTCTGGGCATTTGAGCTGTAGGCTATTCAAAAGCCCATCAATTCGGTTGGAAAACTGATTTTTATTTAATTCAAAATACAGCATGTGTGAAAATAATCGAAAACTCGGAATCTATGCAGATTCAGTCGATGACTACCTCATATAAATAAGGACATAAACTCTTTTCAATTAAACATTTACTTGGCTTTCGAACTTTCACTATCCTTATCAATTAGTTTTTCACTTGATTTCCAACAATATATAATTCTTGTAAACAAAATAGTGTAAATAATCAGTTTATGAATACTTAATCAAAATTATGAAATGCCAACTACATAAAACTTCACAAGATTCCGCTAGATATTTCTATTGTTGGATAGCCTTGAGACACTTATAGATTGTAATAAAAAATGTGTTAAAAAGTAATGCGAATGCCAAGCAGAGGATGCGAGAGAAGACAACAACAACACCAACAAAACAGAAACCAATAAAAAATATGTTTAAGTATTCAGCTTAGATCTGGCCAAAAGATGTTTAGCTATATACAGTTGGCTATAATAAAGAATAGCATATAATGACTGTATGCAGATGTGTATATAGCATATCTATTATATTGTACATATAGAAGCAGAAGAAGAAGAAGAAGAAGAAGTTCTCTTGGACATTTCTTTTAGTCACTCCATTTGCTTCGACTCATCGCATGCCAGCTCATGCGCCAGAAGCTATGCAACAAATTGCGAGTGCAATGCCTCCGTCTCTCTCTCTCTCTCTCTCTCTCTTCCTCTCTTCGACTCATGCGCTCTCGCTCCGCTAAGTGTTTTACTCATTACTAAAAGCAAAAGCCGAGCACACGCATAGTTTTGGCACTTTTTATTTTTTATTTTTTTGGCTTTGGCTTTAATCATATCCGGCAATCAATTGGCACGCAATCTCACACAAATCGCCACTTAATTCTATTTATATTGGGCAGCGGCAGCGGCAGCGGCAGAGGCAGCAACAATTTTGTATGAATCGCAAACTTATTTTTGGTGGCACGAACAAAAATCAAAAATAAATGAGTATAAAAAATAAACAACAACAACAACAACAACATTCATAGATTTAAGCGACGACGACGACGACGACGACTCATCAGAGGCCCACAACATGAGCTGGTGGAATCCCTAAAACAAATGCAACAACAACCAAGAGTGTGTGTGTGTGTGTGTGTGTGTGTGTGTGCGTGAATGCCCTTCAAGGCAAAAGCGTGCAAATACATTTCGGGCTATAAATATATGTATATGCATATATATATATTTACATACATATATAATTGTATATAAATGAGCATTCAAGCAAAACAAAATGCCGTCAAATATCGCAACTTAAATTTTGTTTGTTTTCTTTTTAATTTGATTTTCATTTTCGTTTTCATTTTATTTTCTTGTTGCTCTTGTGCAATTTCTCAAATGAACTTCCCCAGAAATTGGACAGCCAACAGCATTTAATTAGAATCGAACACATAAACAATAACATTTGATACATTTACTCGAACAACAACAACAACAACAACAACAACTAGTTGTTGAGTCCATTGTTTATCGAATGATCCATCCCATTCAAGACATAGCTCAGATTGAATAGTTTACACATGTAGTACATACTCGTATATGTAGAATGCATAGACTGTGAGTATGTATGTATGTATGTGAGTGAGCCGCATTAATCACAGCCTGATCGAACGAACAGTCAGTCAGTCAGTCTATCGATCATTATGGGAATACGTGACAAAGTGCCCTTACTATTTGAAGGCCTTGCCCACAGACACTTTGTAAACACACACATTTATCAGAGATATGTATATATACTATATAGAGAGAGAGGCATTTCCTGCCTCTAGGCACGATCCCATTTGCCGCATGAGCAAGCACTGTTGCTGCTGCTTCATGTTTTCCACATTTTATATTTACAGGAAACTCATAGACTTGAGCTAATTTCAAGATTTATTTAGGTTTCGGTAATTTATTGAGTTCCCTCTCGCAGGAAGTACGAATGCAATAATTTATATACTTTATTATGATCCGTTTTGTTGATACAAATAGGCGCAGTCAACCTATCCGGACTGCAAAACTTGAAACGGCTAACTTGACTACGTATTTCGAATGCCCAGGCGCAGCCAACTTAACGTGAATGCAGAAATGCAGATGTAGCTCATTTCATTTAACTTGGAACATATTTCTTGTGACCTGACTTGACTCGATGCATATCATATGTATATCATATCAAGCTAGATTTAACTAGAACTGTGCGCAAGCGCAGCTAACTTAACTCATATTTCTGTGCCCTGGCGAAGCTAACTTAACTTAAGCATAAAACTTGATGGAACTAACTTTACTAGACCAGACGCATATTTTTCTGGTCAAGTTAATTCAGCCCAACTCTACTTCACTCACATTTCTTGAGATCAGACGCATCTAGCTTGTGTTAGAGCTGCGAAACAGTCGACATTGGCCCCAATCGATATTTCCAATGATTTTAGAGCAAAGATTCGATACTATCGATAATATCTAACTTAACAGAAGCTAAAAACTGAAAACGCTACCAATAAATTTAGAAATGTGAGTTTAAATGAAATAAATAAATACATTAATGTCTCATTGCTTATTTATATCGATAGAGACAACACAACTATCGATAGTAATGCACAAAGGTTTCTTTCGATATCTCCATAGTTGCTCAGCTCTAGCTGCTGCTCAAGCTCGCCAGTTTAACTAATCAATAAATAACGTATTCATTTCAAATGAAAACAAAGCCCATTTAAATATGATCTAGAAAATTCAAGTCGGCGCTCTGACCACAAAGCACGATCAGCAATATAAACTGAAATATGAAGTAAACACAGATCTTGCTCTAATGCAATGCAATACGAAGTGCAGAGTCGAGAAATAAATTCAGCTACTACTGCTGGCAATATCAGCTCAATATACATGTCTCGATATACATACATAAGTATAGATTATCTATTAACAGACATTCCCAAGAAATCGCGAGTATCTAAACTTGATTCTCATTAGTGCTTCTATATTTCAGATGTCCATTAGCGGGGCTTTAAAGTCGCTTGCAGTTGAACTGAAAGGAAGGCCAACACAACAACAGCAGCAACAACAACAACAACAATATCGGATCATCGCCGATCATCTTATTTAATATAAATACTTACAAGAAATACGCTTCGTTCTCGCCTTTCGTATCGTTAAGCACCTAACACAAACCAGAAACGGCAGCCGGACAGCAGCCCCTGCCGCCTGCACTGCCTCAACTCGCACATACATACACACATACGCAGATATAGCCGTATATATATGTGTGCATTGGTATATGTGCGAGCGCGAGCGGATCGCATACGGAATTGAGGCATTCGACGTAGTCTTCTAGTTACCGTCGCGTGAAGCTTTTGTTGAACTGTTGACGCAGAAGCGGAGGCAAGCGTGAATACGAAACTGAATCTGAAACTGGATGTGAATGTGGTTGGGAGCGCTCCTTTACCGTTCTGCCCACCAAGATGATGTTCACCCGCGCCCAGGTGCGCAAGCAGAAGACAAACAGCGCCAGCAGCAGCCAGCGAGCGCGCAGCACTGGCGGCTCATCGCGTCTCCAGGGTCATGATGTAAGTGCAAGGCAAACCAGTTGGATATCCTCTAAGTACTTACACAGGTCAAGAGAATGATTCCAGAACCCTATAGACACAATTTGGTATACCAATATGTGATATCTAACTGTTTACATCTCTAAATTCAACGTTATTTGTAGAAGGAGGAAAAATAAGATAGAAGAGAAATATTGTAATATATCTCTTACATGCGACGATTGTTATTACTACAATGTAGTACAGTCATAGACCATTAATATTAAAGATATTATAATGAACTAGTTACAGTTCTCCAAATGCAATGAGATTAGTGTTAAAAGATAAGTCGTAGTCTCTCTCTCTCTCTCTCTCTTTAGATTAATATCCAATCATTTGCTTATATATCTATGGGATAGAATGGTCATATTTCAAAATGTTATGAGATCTTTTGTAAATGCTTTAAAAAGGAACTAGTTCGTAATCTCGTTCCGGTCTAGCTAAACCTAGAGCTTCTAGTTTACACAAAAAAAAAAAAAAAGGATATCTTATCTTATATAGGAATATCTTTCTAGCTCCTTAGAAACCAACTACTTTCAGTTTCTTAAAAAATTCAAGGCATATCCAGCTTAGTTCTTGTTTCTCGGTATATTCCCGTCAAAGCAACCGTAAAATCGAATATATCAACTGGAGACGTAGTCGGGCTTTCATTCATAGTGAAATCTGAGGCAAATTGGTTCGGTTGGGGAAGCATAGATGCAATTCGTATTATCTTCATTTAATTCAAGCACTGTCGCTCCAGCTAGAAATATATTGAATTTGCACTCCTATTAAAATGAGACTCTTATATTTTTGGAAGGAGAAGAAAAAAAGCCACCCCATTGAACACTACGATCTGGTTGATATCGTAAGCTAAACTTGAATCAATTGATTGATTATTAATTATACGTAGAATAACGATATCTCCCTCTCTCTCTCTCTCTCTCTCTCTCTCTCTCTATTTCTCCCTCTCTCTATCTCTTTCAGCTGCGCTATAAGCCGAGCTCATCCAGCAGCAGTGGCGCCGGGAGCGGCCTCAGTGGCTCCAGCGCAAGCGGCGTACGGCGTGATCGTGACCGTGAACGGGATCGTGACTGTGATGATCACTATAACAATCACTATCATTATGGCAAGCAGCATTCCTTTGAGCTACCTCGCCAGCACTCCAAAGAGGATGCATACACCCGGGACAGAGACAGGGACAGGGATAGTGGCGTCGGGGGAGGGATTGGTGGTGCAGGCAGCGGTGGCTACGTGGATCGTCGCACGCGACCGCGCAGCATTACGAATCGCCGCGGCGCTATCAAACACCAGAAGTAAGTACGCTGAGCCCTATCAAAACTTCAGTTAATCGATATTGTAATATTTACAGAACCCACGATATCAATGGCCATCGCTTTGTGGCGAAATTCTTCCGTCAGCCCACGTTCTGTGCGTTCTGCAATTTGTTTTTGTGGGGCTTTGGCAAGCAGGGCTACCAGTGCATCAGTGAGTAATCGCATGGGGCCGCACTAATCGTCTATCGATAACTAATCGATATGTATTCTACAGTTTGCCAAACCGTTGTGCACAAGAAATGCCATGAGAAGCTGCTCGGCAAGTGTTCCGGCTCCGTCTTCAACTCCGCCAGCACAATTGTAGGTGGCCCACTCGACTCGTCTGACGAGGAAGACCCCTATTCATTAGTTTTCAATCTATGCCAATTGCAGCTGCTGCGCGAACGCTTCAAGATCGATATGCCGCACAGATTCAAGCCGCACACGTTTATGTCACCCACATTCTGTGATCATTGCGGCTCCTTGATGGGCGGCTTCTTCATACAGGGCCTGAAGTGCGAAGGTAAGTCCAAAAGCTCCACAAAAGCACAATTAGTCTATAGAGCTTTTACGTTTGCACTGCGATTTATTGGCGCACGCCAGGTGGCGCTAGGCGTTCAAATTATGCAAAAGCTTTGGCTTTAGTCAGTGCAACAACCCAAAAGTTTTCCACTCTTAGCTGGGAAATTTAGCCAGCAAAATGTAACGGTCAAATGGGAAAGCTGGGAATAATGCATAATAGTGGTTGATGCGATGACCTGAAGAAGGCGAAAACTATAGAAGTGGTATTGAAAATTTCGAATTTGTGTGGAATTTTCGGTATTTTGTAAGGCTGATGTTAGTTCTTATGGGAGACTTAACAGTTAGCTTTTATAATTGACTCTGAAATGTTGGGAAGTGTAGAGCAAACAGTGTAGCTCGCTATTTTATAAGTCTTTGGCGCTCTTAAATAACTAATGAATAAATGTGCGAATTAGTTTAGCTCCATTGTCTATAGGTCTACCTACCTCTAGCATTCTTTAATATCCCATAAACAGCTAATAATAATTCAAAATCTATTAAATGCTACTGAAGAACAGATCTATAAATAATTTTGTAGATAGAATATATGTTTTATATAAATCAAGAATATTATTAGTGAGAACCTTTCTATATAAAAATCCTGAAGATTCATTGTACAGTACTGTATGCAAAATGAACAATTAAAATAGATTTATAAATAAATCATGATGCTAGTTCATATGATAGAAGAGATTCTTTAATGTATTTCAATATTCCCAATGATCCCAGCTGCAATTAGATTAAACACTTTTGCTATCAAAGCCCCTATCATTAGCCAAATATCTGATCTAATGCTCTTTCAATCCCACCATAATTTGACTATGACTCTTCAGTTGTAGATGACAATAGCTAACAGTTGCTTGTATTACACTTTATAATAATAATATAGTATATCTATCTATCTATTAAAATGTAGTAAACAACAAAAGCTCTTATCATATGACGTCGCACAGTATATGAAATATGTATGCGTATATGCATATACACATATACACATATGTAGTTTATATATAGAGCCATACATAATTAGCTCATTTTGTATTGATATATGTAAGTGAATATATTTCGTACGTATTTTAAATGCCGTCGTTTGTTTTCGTGGGACTCGTTCAGCCTTGTGCAATTTTTTGTACACTTTTGGTTAAATGTCTTCCTGTTGTTACAATTTCGAGAACGTTTATTTTAATCGCTCAGCGTGCAAATGGCATGTTTTTACCCTACATGCAAATACATTTAATATACATACATCTCTAGCAGCTACATATGACAACATGAGTCTCTGTTACGAACCATCTCGTTTGCCAATGCGCCAAGAAGGGGAAGGAAATGGACCTCTATAATGTTACTCATTGTTACTTTTCGCCATAAATTGTGCGTGTGCGAATATATATATATGTAAATATATATATTTAGTGTTTTTGTTCAGAGTTTCATGTCTGATTAGTTACAGAGTGAAAAATCGCATATAGAATGAAAAATGAAAGAAATATATATTTTATGAAATATAATGAGGCTCATCAAAGGACATAGATATAGATGTACAGATAGTACAATTCTTTCAGTATATATTCTTATACCTTCTAGGTACAACATTTCAGATCAACAGCTCTTGAAAAAAAAAAGTGAAGCTCAATCTGAGATTAGCGCTTCCTTTCACTCGTTCTCTTGATATATCTATCTCTCTCTATATGTATATTTACATATATATCTTCTTCTCTCTGTTTTCTCTTGCTCTATCGCTGACAGTGAAAAGTTCTGTTTACTTTGTTCAGGCAGCGATTAAAATTGCACAAAATGCATAATAAAAGTTCAGGTCGAAATAAAAATATATTTAACAAAAAGAGTGCCGAAACAGAAAAATACATTATACATCTCTATATATGCATGTATATAGGTATATGTATAGGTATACCACTTATTCAGTTTTATATTTATTACATTCTGTATTTTTATGTCGCAGCGAAATGAGCGCACCGTCTCCTGATATATACTCGTCCCACTGCAATTACATGCATGTCGAATATATAGCTGGGAAATATTTATTTTGCAGTTAAAACAGAGAGTATGCGATGAGATGCATAAATAATCTTAACAAGCTGGCACTTGTGTGGGCAACGTCGTTACTGCGGATACCCTGTAAAATGCGCAACTCAAATAATATTCATATAGGGGACGTGATATGTGACATATATGGGATGCCTTTTGAATAGCTAAGGAATAATCTTTTGAGTTTTGCTAATGTTGATGCTGTAGATACCCTGTAATGAGATATGCTTAAAGTATTCGAATCAATATGAGATATATTTGGAAAGTACTAGGAATGCCTTGTTATTGATCCTCTTAGTGAAGACTGTGATGTGTCTTAAGATACCCTGTCATTTAGAGAAATGAAATATGATCTATGGGAATACCCTTCAGTATGTTTTACTCAAGTAACTAACATGTATCAGATAGATAGATAGGCATATGATAGAGCTAGAAAGCACTCTGAATGGTATCCTTTCTATCTTCTTTTTACAAAGTATGTATGTAGTTGCTAGAGATACCCTGTAATGGAATCACTGGGTATATGCTGTTACATATACTGTAGTTCCTCTGCCTACTGTACCTTAGGATAAGCTTCAGCTTGACCTTGAATCCTCTCACCTCTGGCAACTTATTGGATATGACGGAAATGCTCGTTATGTTTAATCCCAATTAAGAAACCGATTCGCATTTCATACATATATCCGTAATATTGATGCAGACAGCCAAGACAGACGGTATTAGAAATCAATTTATTGCGCGTTTGCCAGCAACAAGCAGCGAGCCAAAGCAGCTACCAAAAATAACAGCACGCACAGTGATTGTGATCGACTATGAAATACCCTTTAGCTAAGACATTATGTGAGGAAACTGTAAGGTAAAAATTTGAAATTATATTAACACTAGAGCGAAAGATTGGTTCAGCCTAAATAACTGAAAGACTAAAACGATTCGAGAATAATACTGCAAAGGAAAATACTTAAAAGTGCGATAGTTACTAGCTAAGTACTATCATAAAAAATACTACAAATAGATGAATTTTAGAAAATTAGACTTTACTTGAGAAATCATATATAATATTTATAAAGTCATATATTGCAACAATTGAAACATTTTCCATTCCTTTGCTCAAAGTTTCTTACGGATGCGCAACAACATGACATGATAGGAATGCAAGCAAAGTATACAAAAATTACACAAAAATACTAAAAATACATGAATTTATATATATATATATGTGTGTGTGTGTGTGTTGTGCATGCCCGCAATACAGAGACACCATAGATGCGACAAGCAAAACGTTAAAAATAATGGAAAGTCGGCCTGGCTATAAATCGCAAAGATTAAGTACTCGCCCGACGAATGCCTCCTCGTACATGTTGCAGTTCTATTTCTAGTTGTTTGGCGCTACCCCTCTCTCACTCTCACTCTCTCTCTCTCTCTCTCTCTCTCTCTCTTTCTCTCTTTCTCTCGCTCTCACCTTTGGCCGGCTATAAATGCATTTTGCGGAACCGAAAAGCGTCACCAAACGTCGCAGCGCACCGCGTCGTGTGGCAAAAATACCAAAAATACAAAAAAAAAAAAAAAAAAAAAAAAAATAAAAATAAAATGAAAAAAAAAAAAAAAACATACCTCTAGCATTTAGTGTTTCCTTCCCTTGGGGAAGGCGAACATATTCGAAAGCTGCGCAAAAACATTTCTGCTAGCAGGTGTACGAATCAATCAGCTTCCAAATTGAGCATTATTTGCCAGCCCCGATAGATATATAGCCACGTATACACATACGTATATACTTATTATAATCCCATATAGTATATAATCTCTTACACGAATTGGCGAATATTGTTTGTTGACAACAAACATAATTGGATCTCTAATAAGATTTATTTTTAGAGTTCACTTAATATTAAAAAAAGAGAAACTAGAAATGATCAGTTTGGGCATCTGCACGGCGTTCATTGGGCTTTGGCTCACACGTGCCAGATAAGTGTCAAAATATTTGCCTAATGGCCAAAGAAATATTTATAATTCATATATTTCTGCTAAACCGAAATCATCTGCAAAATCATCTGCAAAATCATCGGCAAAATTGCGTTGCGTACTAAATAAAAAATAATAATAAAAAGAAATGAAATGAAAAATGAAAATGTGTTAAAAAACGATGCAAATACGCAACAGATGAACGCTGAACAGGTGTGAGTTTTCCTTAGTCATCTGTTGAGTTCTTGGGTGAAGTATGCGGGTTTCTATACTCATTCAAGCAAGTCTAGGGCGGGTATATTGGTTTTGTGCAATGTTCGTCCGACTGTCTGTTCGTACATGAACCGCTATTGCAGCTATAGACTTGAAATTTTGAATATATACCCGTGAAAAAATAATCCGATCTGCCCATTAGGGGCGTGGCGATTGGAAAAATGCATTTACCGGTATCTTAAATCCTTGGCAGCAGTGTATAGATATACCTCCCACACATATATGGAACCAAAGACAATGCTGTCAATTGGTATATATGCTATGAGGATAGCATAAAATATGGGCACATGCTTAGCTATCATCTATGCACTTATCCCAGGTGTTCTATCTCTTCTATAAAATGGCAACACAAATTAAATTGTAACAGAATCTTTCATCTTGTGCTTCCCTTAAAAAGATCATTAATTTTTATAGCAAATTCCATTTGAGCCAATTAGCTTTGATCAAAATTTCTGTCATTCGGTGCGCCTGGGGGCAGAGGCAGCACAGCGAACATCGTTTTTATTAGCTATTTGATTGTGTTAGATAATAAAGTTACGTTTCTCAAATATTTCCACACGTTCATAAATATAGTTTTGAAACGATTAAGACGACAGACAGTGCAAAAAGCAGAGATCGTTGCTCTTGTCGAAAAGTCTGCTCAGATGATTGCCTTTCATAATTCGCTCAGCAATCTCTCTCTCT